GAAGATGAGCTCCAGATAGACGTTTATACAGATATGTTAGAAAGACCCCAACTGTAGAAGGTTTTCTTCTACAGTTAGTCTATCGTTTTGATAGCAGTGACAGCGATATCGTCCAAGCAACAAGGCGACGAGAGAAAGAGTTCGCATAGATAGCGATTACAACAACAAAACAAAATTATAAAACAAACAATAACAAAATTATAAAAAATAAAATATTGATTTTTTTGCAAATTTCTCGATTTCAGCCGATTCATAAAAGTCCAATATCATTATAATATGTTAGTTAGTTCCAAAAGCATACTAAATAATACGAGGGTCTGTAAATGCCCGTTTCTGCCGAAAAGTGGCGCTGGGTAGCTGGTAGCCAACGTCCAGAATGGTTCGAAGAGCTAAGGGTTAATTATTATTAACAATAATAGGATAAGACGTGTTCAGAATTGGCCACGCAGACCGGTGGACAGTCATGAAAGTTCGACCGTGCTCGATGCGCCTAGGGCGGACAGGGCCTGCCATCTCTAAGCGAGTAGTTCACATCATTAAGACAACTTCCTTTTGTCTCAGCGACCGCCTCTGTTTATGCGATGTGTTTACGCGACGAATGGTAAGGTGTCCCTCTCGCACCTCGACGCAACTGTAACGATCGAACTCACTTTCTTCATTACGAACCGTGCGAGCGTCAACACGTATGTATCGTGTTATTCGAGCTATTAGAGGTATGTATTCGCAAGTATGTACCTTGTCCATTCGCTACTGCGACAGTATTTTTATTGTTATTTTTGTTACATTGTTTGTTATCATTTTATCGAATTGTTCAGTTCATTGTTATGATAATTACTAATACTATAATTAGTATAATACTATAATATATTAGTATATTAGTATAATATATTAGTATAATACTATAGTATATTAGTATATAATACTATAGTATATTAGTATAATATATTAGTATAATACTATAGTATATTAGTATATAATACTATAGTATATTAGTATAATATATTAGTATAATACTATAGTATATTAGTATAATGTTATAGCATATTAGTATAATACTATAGTATATTAGTATAATATATTAGTATATTAGTATAATATATTAGTATATTAGTATAATACTATAGTATATTAGTATAATGTTATAGTATATTAGTATAATGTTATAGTGTATTAGTATAATACTATAGTATATTAGTATAATGCTATAGTATATTAGTATAATATATTAGTATATTAGTATAATACTATAATACGATAATTATTAATACTATACAAGTGAATTACAGTTCATTTAGTGAGCAAACAGTTTGCACATATTTATTCTCAAGACCAGTGCGTTCAATCCTTTCGCTCCTCATTTCGCGACACAGGGAACTTCCTCGAGTCGTGCTGTTTCAAACAAGATGATAGGTCGAGGTCTAATCGAGGTCCTTCTATAGTTTCGTCGTCATTACTTGGAATAATAAAAAATCTGGATAATAAAGATCGAGGAAAATCTAGTTCGGTTAATCGAGGTTCTACTGTATTCAGATTAGCGAAAGAGAGAAATACGTTGAAAGACTTTGTCCGTCAGAAATAATTGTCGTGTGTCCAAGGAATTTTCGATTGTTTTTGACTTTTTTTTTGTCTTCAGTGGATGATTAAGCCGTTTATTTTGAAAGTGGCATAAGTCACATTGTTTTTAAGTCGATATATTTAAGGGTTTGCGTTTTAACACGTTTAAAAATGTGGATGCTAACTTTCGAGAAGATTTACTTGTATTTGTTATCTCAGGATACTGATATTTTTCTCAGTATAAATAATTTCGTATAAACATTAAAAAATCACCACTTTTCGTTACGGTAAAGTGACTTATGCGACTTTCAAAATGAACGGCTCAATTGTTTCCATTTTCGGCACATTTGTTTTTCTTGTAGGGTAAGTATTGGTATTACTGCGGTTTTTCAATGAATTGACGCTGAGCTTGGAAACAAAAAGGGACAATTTGGGAAAGGGAGATACGATTATTCGAGCTTTGCACCTTATTTTTATAATTGTTGATTTTAAATCGTCAACTATAAAAATGAGTCGCAAGGCTCAATTAATCGTGCCTCCTCTTCCAAAATGGTCTATTTCTGTTTCCAAGCTGAGCGTCAGTTAGGGAGAATTTACTATGCTGGGGTTTCTCAATGTAGGTGAAGTTTGATAGAGAAAATAAGACCTTTCACGCCAATAAATTGACAAATTTAGCCATATCTATTATTCTTTGACTTGAATATTTACTTTTCTCAAAATATTGGATTTCTGAAAGCACAAATTTCACTAAAAAGCGTAATGTAAAGATATCATACGTGTGCATATATTACTCGTGTAATGTATCTATTACTGCGAGTCAAATACTGCGGGCATTCCGATTACTGCGTGTCAAGGTTGACATAGCCCATTTTCTTTTCAATATAAAGGTACAGCTACAATTTCTAGATTCAAGATATTCTCACTGTAGAATTTCACAAATTAAGTATATATTAGTACTCTACAATCAAAAAAGCGTGTTTGCACTGGCTCATCGAGAACTCTGTTGTATAGGTTAAGGTACGTAGTTCGTACACACCGCAGTAATGTACACACATGGAAAAAACTATGCGCAGAATACCGTTTTAGTAAATAATATTTGAGGATAAATGTTAGTGACAGTGTACGTCGATTTTTTTTATCGAAGTAATGATTACTTTATCTAAAAATAACGCTAAAATGAATAGTTTATTATTAATTACTAAAATATAAATGCCTTTTGAGTCAGTATTTACAGCGATTTCATAAACTTCCGAATATCAAAAGTCAATAAATGAATTAAAATTGCGATTGCTGTGGTTACTTGTATGTCATAAATTATCAATATTAAACATATAAAAATTATAACATTCATTTTTAGAAGATTGCACACTTCAACATATGTTAGATTTTATTATTTTTATAAAATACCGCAGTATTTGGGACGTCCGCAGTAGTACCTTCACTTACCCCACAGCGTCGTTAGTTGTAGAGCAAATAAATGATGCGGTGGACGCTAATGGGGAGGAACGGTTCGACATTTCGGTGATTTTTTAGAGCCGTCGAATGAGTTGATTTCCATAACTTTCACATAGGATCGAAGAGGAAAAGACGAGATGCGGGGCACGAGCGAAATCGTAGCGAAGCGGGAAGCGGGAAACGCGATGGGTAGGGCAAAGGACCCTCGTTCTGCAAAATATCAAAGGCTCAGTAGGGAAATTGAAAGGCTTTGTATAGAAATAAGAATGTATCGACTGCCCCCGACAACCACTCAGTCGGGGACAAGATTTTCGAATCTTATACTTGTCGCGGCGAAAGAATGCGACGGGAATACATATTTGGGAATGGCTTCCCAGTCGTTTCTCCCGGTTGAATAGAAGCTACGTTTGTTAAAAAAACACATTACATTGTCAGCGATAATTGCTGCTTTCATATTGCGTGCATGGGTATTGCAATAATTATGAAATCGATGCGAAGGATCGCATGAAAATCGAATCGCGTTGCTTCGAGAGCAATTAGTATCTAAGATTTAATGTTTAGTATGCTAAATTATTGTCAAATATCAATCATTCTGTACAAAAGTACACTCGTCTAGCTTTAATTTGAGCCCTTAAACGTTCGAAAATTTGTACGGGAACGCATTCTAAAATCACACATGATTGGAAGTGATCCATTAAAATCAAATTACTTTTCACCGAGCTAACGATCAGAATTTAACTAGTATTTGAGGTGATTTGGAATTTTTGATCATTTTTATATTTGAAAAATTCAGAAGAAATCCCGATAATGTATCTACACTAATTTTTCGCACATTTGTTTTCTAATTGATTAGTTAGTAACAATTTTCCATTTAATGTTGCAATATCAAATACACTAACAAATGATTCGTACCTTTTTCGCCATAGGAGGGAATGTAAAATCTGGCACGAATCATCTGCTGAAATCATCAGCCGCTTGTGGCAGAACCAACACAGCACCACATGAATTATTGGCAAAATGTTGAAACTACTAGCCAAATTTAGTTCACATTTCTTACACGCACGGCGCCACCATACAAAACCTGTGGCAGATCTAGACAACACAAATGAGGTATACAGCATACTCGATTCTCACTAAGAATATTAAATTTTCGAAATATCGGTAACGACGAGTGCGACATGTGAATGGTAATGGTGAATCAGGTACTTGATTTTCGGGTGACAAAAAAATACATTACGCCATGGAACTGATACCTCGCAAGTGTCCTAAGTATATATTTGTCCAAATGCCATTCTGCAAAAAATATGGACTGTCGATAATTTGGCGAATAGTTCCAACGTTTTACCATTGTTTGGTCACAGAACCTCGTCTCTGGGTTGGCTAACAGTTTCAGCGTTTTGTCACTTCCGAATTAGCGCTTTACGGAGCCTGAATAGACTTTCTAGATTTCACCACAAGTGACGCCACTGTTCGGCCAGCAGTCAGTTTCCAGGTTTTGTCAACTACTAACTGGCGCTGTATGGACCCTGGACAGAGCTTCCAGATTTCACCACAAGCGACGTCACCGGTCGGCTAGCAGTTTGAGCCTTTTGCAATTTACTAATTGGCGCTGTACCGAGGCTGAGAATAACTTCTTGATTTTGCAAGAAAGGCGCTATCTGATCATTTCAGCAGACTATTCGTGCCAGATTTTACATTATCTCGTTACGGCGAAAGTAGTACGAATCACCTGTTAGGATATTTCACGTTGGAACATCAACTAGGAAATTGTAACTAACTAATTAATTACAACTCAAACATGCGTAGAATTGGTATAAGTACATTGCTGGGATTCTTCTGAGGTTTCCAATGAGGAAAGTCGAAATAAATGAAACACCACGTTGAAGAAACAATAAATGTTAAGCCAGCGAAAAATGACTCGATCTTAAGGGATAATTTCAAATTGATTTTGGAATGTGTTCTCGTAGGAATTTTCGAACACTCAAAGGCTCAAATTAAAGCCAAGCGATCGTACTTGGATACAGGGCGATAACTTCGCGCAAGATTATGAACAGCTTATGGCATATAAATTTGTTTATTATCATTATCTGTATAATATATTTGAAACAATATCATTCTACAACATTGCATAAAAATATACAAAGACATGACAAAATGTCTTGACTCTCGTTTGATAAAACATGTTCATGAATAATTTGATCAGCGTTGCACCGCCGTCAGTTCTAACGGAATTCAATCAATTGAGAATAGGTCACTTTCGAAATTGCATCGTTTCGAAAAACGTCATACCATTTGTGTTACATTTCTCTCTCTCTCTCTCTCTCTCTCTCTCTCTATCTCTTTTACTCTCTTTCTCTTTTACTCTCTCTCTCTCTCTCGCTCTCTCTCGCTCTCTCTCTCTTTTATTTCTCGTTTTCTATTTTTCCTTTAGTTGGGTGTCTCCGCAAACAACAGTACGAACGGATCGATGAATATGGGACGAAAAATGAAACGAATCGCGACCGTGCCTCGTTCGTAGGCCCCGTTCGCGCTTCCACCCACGCTTGCATACTCCGCGAGACACAACGAAACAACATTTACACGCTATCTAACGCTCTCGGCCCAGTTCCCGAGCTTCGGCGATCGTTACAAAATAAATTCCTCGGCCTTCGTTTTCGTTTTTTCTATTCCGTCGATACTCGAACGCGAACGGGACTCTCGCCGAGGGTACGAACGACAGCTTCCGGTTTCCGATCAACATCACACGCAGTGAGGAACGCGCGCTAGTTAGTCGCTCCTCGGAGATCTCGAGGAGTTCGAACATCGTCGTTCTAATCGCTGTTCTAAACGATTTTTGTCCGCGCGTTTACTAAATATGTGTTCCACCGTTTCCAAATGATCTCTAAACTGAGCATTTTTGTACGATCGTGTGGCGACAATTCTGCCAGTAATTCCTTCCGTTACCAATTGCTACAGAAATCATTGAATCGCAACGCGATGCAAGAAATTTTTAACCGTACAAGATTCGCAATATTCCAACTCAGAAATTGTTAACATACGATTCGCAATTTTCTAACTGGAACATGAAATCGGTTCAACTCCTTGCCTCGCCGTCTTCCTCGTTGCTAATTAACGCTCGTTAATATTCTCCACGTAACGCCCGCGTTTAGCTTAGGACTTTCCGCCGCGCGAAATCTTCAACGCGAGCCCAAGGAGCTGAAAAGATACGTCCGCGCGAGCGATGACAAAAGTTGTTCAGAGCGGCGCGCGAGACCGTCGATCGTTCGCTGACGCAATTAATTACCGAACGCGAAGAGATCAGCGAAGAAGAAAAGGAAGGTCTCGAATTCTCTAATAAGGCGCAGGCTCGTTTCCGGAGCCGGGGCTGCGGGGGCGAGCAGCCCGCGAGAATGGGGGACGGGGAAAGGAAAGAACGGGGTAACGGGACGCGTACAGATTTTCTATTGTTCGTTTCTCGCGGCGATTTTCGCTGCCGGAATATGAGCGAGGACGCGTCGTGGGTATTTCGGCGACTCGGTATTCTTGCGAGGAAAACCGCAACTATGGACGAAGGAAGTCGCTTCGTGTTGCGCGTCACAAACATGTTTAGAGAGTACGTAGGCCAGAACTAAAGATCGGGGATGATGTAGAAAAAAAAGACGAAGAATTCGATGGAGAGAAGAAGCACAGTTCGACGAAGATGCGTGGAATCGGTTTTGGAAATCGAAAATCGGCGCTCGGATGTTTAGCAACACTCTCTCGTCCGAACGCGATTGCCATCTTTCTTTTGAGATCATTGGCCGAAGGATAACAATGACAATTATAATATTAGTAATGACAATAGTAATAAGTAATAATAATAATCGCGTCGTGTGACGATAATATAATATAATCATATAATAATAATAGTTGCTTAATGGTAATAATAGTAATAAAAATAACTATCCGTAAACTAGCCTTTACCAAGGGAGATATTTTACCCATTAGCTTATGTACATAATCTGCGCTTGTGTGTGTATGTGTCTGTTTCTCTCTCTCTCTCTTTCTCTCTCTCTCTCTCTCTCTCTCTCTCTCTCTCTCTAATATGATTTTCCCTTTCTTTCATTTTCTCTGCACCTCTCTCTCTTTTTCTCTCTCTCTTTCTCCCTCTGTTCCCTCGATTTTCATCTCATCACTTTAAAATTACGAATCGTTACAATAATTCACTATCGAAACCGCTTCGGTTCAGCAACATAAATAATCACAAACGCAAACGCCGTTCTCGTTTTATCGTCTCTTTCCTATGTACAGGCATCGCAACCCTCGCGTCTCGATTCAATCACGTCCCTTTCGCTCACTTTTTCTCATTTCCACTTTCACACGCATACACGCACAATCTCTCGCTTCCCTCATTCTCGTTCCTCTTGTTCCTCGCCGATCGTACCCGTTTCCCTGAATTATTGCTGCCTCGCCTCGTCTCCCGGTGGCTCGCGCGTTCGATTCGAAGACGGCGGATCGGAGAAAGCCTCGGCCGCCTATAGCACGCTTTTTTTGCAACACAATTAAACTGCGAACATTCACAAAACAGATAGAGAATTCCGGGGAAACAAAAGGGAAGCTCTTCCCGTCTCCGATAACTCGAGCAGACGCAGCGACATTCTTTCGTACCTTTTTGTTATCTTGACCGACTGAATTTTCGTCGTTGTTCCAACGAAATTTTATTTCTGAACTATTATCCTCGAAATTTCAACAGAGTCCAACGATAATTAGCCTATACAGTGGAAAAAATATTATCTCGCATTTGAGGAAACAATTCGCAGAACTTACCGATTTGCTCGAAAGATCAGTGGTAGATATTTGTGTTTTTTTTCCGGTATTTCAGGCTTCGATGTCCGATCAGGTTCCTTAAATTGGAACTATCGACTTGAAGATCGACGGTCGTTTTACGGCGAAAGTCGGAAGCTGGGAACCGAACGGTTCTTTCTCTCAGCGTTTCGTCGATGCGAGACGCCGTGGGAGAAACTCGTTTGCACGACGATCGCGCCGAACGGTCCGCGACATCGTTATCCTCGCGAATTCGACTGCGAAATTCTGGCAGGAAATTTCCAAGACCTTTCTGGCCGCACCCGCGCAGAAAGACGGATCTCGAGCGTCGCGAGCCTTTTCCGCGAGAATCTCTGAAAACCGATCCCGGGATTGTCACCGCGTCCGTCACGGACCGTGTCCCGCGCGACCCGTTCCAGGCGATTTCACGCCGAGAAGGGAGAGAAACGGCTTTCCTTTGCATTCTCGATCCCCTCTCGGGCACCGTCCACGAGGGAAACCGACACGAGACCGCGTTCGCCGGTTCCTCGTGATCGGTAAAAATCACCGTCACGTGCGTCGCCCGCTTTCTCTTTATCTAACCTCCACCCACCGTGCTCCGCGGCAACGGCTATCTACAACGATCAACGGGAAGAGAAAAATCGGGCGGCCGGGACGCACGGTGCGAGACAGTATTCGCCACGGAACAAAAAAGTTAGCAGTCGCAGCGATTAACCGTTTGCGCACTATATGTTACAGGATCGAAAAGCGCCCAAGAGCGCAATAGCGCTCCTTCGATTATGTGTCGAAAAAAGCCGTAAAACATAAAATAAAACGTTATGAATGAAAATATATTTACTATTAGTTTAGAATAGGTAACAACAAAATGCAAATTGGATTAATGACAGCGACGCGACGCGCGACGTATACATGCGTCTGAAAGACTGAGCACGTTTCGACAAATTTCGGTAAGTAAGTAAGTCGTCTGTTACAGCCAAATGCTCCGGCTTTTCTCGACACAAAATCTGAAGAGCGCAAGTGGCTCGTGGTACGCAAACGGTTAAATAAGATGAAACGTCGATAGAACGTCGATAGAACGTCGATTGAACGTCGATCGAAATCAAATCAGATTCTTCATCAAAAGATACTTTATTACCAGACCGCGGATATTTTTATATGAAATAAGAATTGCCCGCGTCGACTGTAAAAAACAGAAGACGAATAGAAATTTCATTGTTTCTTTAATCGTCGTAACAGCCGCAAAATAGTACGTCGACGTCCTTAAGTTTGTTCAATCTTCTCATAGCTTTAAATTCGACTTGTACTCGTTTTCGACGCGAATGCATAAAATCCGCGGTCTAGTTGGTTACTTCTTTGTTGTTAAAACGCAACTGATTCCAATTGTCCTGGAAAATTCGAAATGATCCGACTCTACGTCCAAATTGTAACAGTGTGTTCAAGGAACGCGTCATTTTAACACGTTGCGAATTATTTAACCCTTTGCGGTAACATTTCCTTCGCAGTTGGAACAATTTTTCGATGGCAATTTCTTGGAAGAAAGGGACAATCTACTCGAGCGCTTAAATATTGATGACCAGATAACAGAATGCAATTCCAATGTAAGAAAAAGATATCGCGCATACTGAACGGGTTATTAGTTATTTACGGAATGGCATAGTTATTTATTGTTACTAGAAATCGTCATCGCGGATCGGACTAGTCAAAGTCTGGCAAAGGGTTGTTTTACTTTGAAATCATAAAGATACGTTTGCGGAGAATTTATTCAATAACTTCGTTTCACTGGACGTACATCGCGATAAGAAAAATCGCTAAAAATCGCTAAAAATCTGAATAAACTTGTTATTTGTATGAAAATAAAATAGCTGCTGCCGCGAAGCTAGGGCGTCGAGGATCAGCCGTGGATCGGCCGAGAGGCCAGAAAGCAATGCAAATGATATAGTACCGGCGCAAATATACCGCAAAATTTGCGCCGAGGCAAATCCGATTGCATGTCGAAGACCTCCGATGGTTCATTAATAGTCGCGGGCTGAAAATCCGACGGTGGTCGAAAGAACGGCCGAAAATAGACGCCGTTTTGATCCGGCGGGCTCCGAACAGAAGTAGATTATTCGATTGGGTTCGAAGACCGCGAGTCAACACATAGATCACCCGGAAACCAACGAGCAGACCGGCTCCGGGTTTGCGAAGACAACCGCAGCGTAGAAGTAGACGCCCGAATTCGACCGAGTTAGCCGCGAAAACATCTGGATGTTGACCGATCGACGAGAGTCGAATCATCCCTGATCTGCCAAACCATCTACCGGATTAGAAGGATTTGAATTCCGGCGGATACGAGTCGACGTCGGGAGTCTACGAACCGAGTCACTTTCGGCGATTCGCGCGGGGAATAAGCGAACCGAACTCTCGGAGTTGGAAATCGTTATCGACGTTTCGTTTAATCCGAAACAGTGTCGGGTAAACGTTAAGTAAACGTTAGATGCACTTGCAACGAATAGACAATTGGAGTATCGTTTCGGTTAACCCTTTGCACTGGAACGCCGATTACGCGGCGTTGCTGAAAATTATCACGCGGATTTTTTTATTGTAACGTGTGTAATTTTACGAAAATTGTTTGCGCCGATTTCAAGTTACAGGAGACAAAGAGACATTTATTTCGATTCTTGACACTTTATTTAATGCAAGCTTGTTAACATGCTTTTCGATGAATTCTTTTAAGTAATAATTTGAGAAGAACTCGTTAGATTTTGTATTCATCTAAATAATTTGACAGATTGCGCACGAGATTATTGCAGTTTTGGTAGAATTTTTTAAGAGATTCTTAACTGTTGTTTTCAGATAATAACATTAACGAGTTAAAAATAATGTAACAGTATTTCTAAATTCTTTAACTGTTTTTACTATCTTGTATTCGATTCAATCATTTCCTTTGTAGATGCATAAAATCCGCAATCTAATTATGTTACTATAGTTTGAAATAATTCGCTAAGTTGGTGTTTTGGTTCCAAAGGGCTAATACGGAGTAAACAATTTTGTAAAGAAATTCTGAACTGCTGATTTCAAATAGTAATTTAACGAGTTCAAAATAAAGCAACAGACTTTTTAAATTCTTTAACTGTTCTTACTGTTTTGTATTGGATTCATTCTTTTTTTCATAGCTACATAAAATCCGCAGTCTAATTGTGTTATATTTCCTTTGTAGATGCATAAAATCCGCAATCTAATTATGTTACTACAGTTTGAAATAATTCGCTAAGTTGGTGTTTTGATTCCAAAGGGCTAATACGAAGTAAACAATTTTGTAAAGAAATTCTGAACTGCTGATTTCAAATAGTAATTTAACGAGTTCAAAATAAAGCAACAGACTTTTTAAATTCTTTAACTGTTCTTACTGTTTTGTATTGGATTCATTCTTTTTTTCATAGCTACATAAAATCCGCAGTCTAATTGTGTTATATTTCCTTTGTAGATGCATAAAATCCGCAATCTAATTATGTTACTACAGTTTGAAATAATTCGCTAAGTTGGTGTTTTGATTCCAAAGGGCTAATACGGAGTAAACAATTTTGTAAAGAAATTCTGAACTGCTGATTTCAAATAGTAATTTAACGAGTTCAAAATAAAGCAACAGACTTTTTAAATTCTTTAACTGTTCTTACTGTTTTGTATTGGATTCATTCTTTTTTTCATAGCTACATAAAATCCGCAGTCTAATTGTGTTATATTTCCTTTGTAGATGCATAAAATCCGCAATCTAATTATGTTACTACAGTTTGAAATAATTCGCTAAGTTGGTGTTTTGATTCCAAAGGGCTAATACGGAGTAAACAATTTTGTAAAGAAATTCTGAACTGCTGATTTCAAATAGTAATTTAACGAGTTCAAAATAAAGCAACAGACTTCTTAAATTCTTTAACTGTTCTTACTGTTTTGTATTGGATTCATTCTTTTTTTTCATAGCTGCATAAAATCCGCAGTCTAATTGTGTTATTATCGTTAAAAAAAATATGCTAAATTGGTTTTTAGATTTTAAAGGGTTAATACGAAGGAAACAATTTTTTTTTAAAGAAATTTGTAACAGTTGTTTTCAAAATAATAACTTTAACGAATTAAAAATAATGCAACAGTATTTCTAAATTCTTTAACTGTTTTTACTATCTCGTATTCGATCCACTCGTTTCTTTCATAGCTGCATAAAATCCAGTGTCTAATTATGTTACTATAGCTTGAAACAATTCGCTGAGTCGATGTTTGGATTTCAAAGGGTTAATACGAAGCAAATAATTTTTTAACGAAATTCTCGACTATTGTTTTCAAATAGTAACTTTAACGAGTTCAAAATAATGCAACAATTGTTCTAATTCTTTAACTGTTTTTAACCGTCTCGTATTCGATCCATTCATTTCTTTCATAAATACATAAAATCCACCGTCTAATTATGTTATTATCGTTCGAAAAAATATGCTAAATTAGTTTTTGGATTTCGAACGGTTAATACGATGCCAACAATTTTTTCAAGAAGTTCTTAACTGTCTTTTTTCAAATAATAACATTAACAAGTTAAGCATAATGTAACATTATTTCTAAATTCTTCAAATGTATTTACTATCATGCATTCGATCGACTCATTTCTGTCATAGATGCATAAAATCCACAATCCTAATTATGTTACTATAGTTTGAAACAATATGCTAAATTGATGTTTGAATTTCAAAGGGTTAATACGACGCAAACAATTGTTTGAAAATGAATATGATACTTAGCATTTCGATTTCATATTTGAGATCTAGTTCGTCCAGCACTGTTCAGGAGCGGACAGCCAGCCTGGTACCCGAGCGCAAGCTAAAACGGGGGACGTAAAAGTCCAGTGTTGGACCGGGCACGGGCCCCCGCAACCCTCGTCGCAGATCGTAATTTCACGAGAAGCCTGAACGTCGAATTGACATTTTTCGAGTTTCCGTCTCTCTTTCTCTCCCTCTCTCTCTCGCGCGCCCCCGTGTCTCCCTCCGCCCCCGTAATCCTTATCCCTCATCGCTCCTACTCTCGCTCCTATTCTCAGTCCAGTCTCTCCCTAACCGTGATATTGATCCTCCTCCCCTGTTCGCGTCCACGCCACGCGTTAGGCTGCCGTTCGACCTAGTGTCGGCGAGCAGCCTAAAGTCCCTTCTCCCGACAAAAAGCAATCTTTCGCGAACAATCCGTTCGATATTCGACGTAATCGACCTGTCTTTATTTTGCAAATTCGTCGACGTTTAACTCTGCACTTTAAAAATTTGCACCTTCAAACGGCATAGAACTAAAATATTGTTATTTGTTCTTTCGATGTCCTGGCAATCGAGATCAATTTTTGGGAATTCAATGTGCCAGCTGAGCGTTGGGATCGTATCAGGCTTTATTTTCATATTTTTCGAGCCTCGATTATCCGAACATGTTCGATTTGTAAATTGGTCACTCTAATTTTAATTTTAATTTGAATTTAATTCAATCTCAATTTCAATTTCAATTTTAATTTCAATTTCAATTTCAATTTTATTTTGTCGTAGAAATTACTAGAAAGTTAGTTTAGTATTTAACAGCGCGGCTGCTAGTTTGTTGCGTTTGTTCGGATAATCGAGGCTCTCCTGCGCATCGTCGCGAAGATAATTCAACAGTAACGAAGCACTGAATAAATATAAGATAAACTTAAGATACTTAAAATAGCCTAATCTCTCTTTGGATGATTATTATTGGATCATTATTACCAGTCATTACCGGACTGCGGACTTTATGCATTTGTGGGAAAAAAATGTATAAATG